ATTTTCAAAATATTTGAACTTCTGGGTGAGATTGATATATTGAACTTCATCCACTTACAAAATCCAAAAACTCTAAAAAAGAACGACGCCGAGTGGCGTTTAATATGCAAAGAGATGAATTTAGATTATAAAAAGACCGAGTCTTATGTATAAGACTGATGAATTTGAATTATAAACAAACTAAAAATAGAAACACGTCACAATGTCTTATGTATAAGACTAATGACTTCGGTCACGCAATATTAAGAGAATATTTTATATATATAATGGGTGACGAGCAAGAGAAAACTAAATTATCAGATTCTGAAAAACAAGAAATAGAGGAAATAGTTCAAGAAATAATGGAAGCAGATAGAAGATTACAGACTGAATATTTAGTAGATAAAACAGCCAGATTTCTTGTCTTTACTGCTAAAATCGCATTGAGCTATTGTATTATTAGAAAATTTATGAATTAGAAATTCAAACCCATCGTAACTTTTAAATGCATCGGTAGCTAGCCTAACTGGCTTTTCTTTTTTTGAAATATAAAACTAATTCACAATACGCAAACTTATTAAAATCAACGCTCTATTATTAAATCCCATAGTAGTGGTAATTTCAACCCAAAAGCGCGTTTTTTAACCAAAAATCGGGTAGCTAGCCGTGTGAGTGTGAGCTAGAAAAGAATTCAAAAAGTGAGCCAGAATCGGCCTATTACCACTACTGAGTGAGCGAGAAACCATCAAGAGAAGCAAGAAAGTTAATTGGTATAAGGAAGGAGGGTATTCTAGCGTGATATTTGTACCGTCAACACCAGACTCAGAACTTAGGAGACTCCTACAGAAGGATGTGAACAACTCTGGACTAAAGATCAAGATCGTAGAGAAAGCCAATGTAAACATCAAGGGAGTATTACAACGATCGGATCCCTTCAAAACTCGTTTATGCAGTAGAGATGATTGCTTGGTATGTAGGACAGGAGGAAATGGATCATGTAGAGCCGTCAATATTACGTACGAAATCAAATGTAAATCTTGTGGTGATAAGTATGTAGGAGAAACGGCGAGAAGTGGATACACCAGAGGCAGAGAGCACCTTAAAGATATGGACACCGGTGGAGAAAGATCTATCATGAAAGCTCACTGTACGGATAAACATGAAGGAGTAGTACAGGACTTCGAAATGAACATCACAGAGACGTTCCACAGGGACCCCATGCTGAAACAAATATCAGAGGCTGTACGGATAAAGCGAGAGGGACTAAGATCAATGAACAGTAAAAATGAGTGGAATACTGTACAGATACCACGAGCAAACATTGAACTTTTGTAACTTTGTTATTTATTTTATTTTATTTTATTTTATTGTTGTAGTCTTTTTGTAGGTTATTAGTGTTCGCGCGCGCACGTTGTGTTAAGCGCGTGCAGCTAGATTTTGTAAGCGTAGTCAACTGTGTAACGTAACAATGATTGAAAAGGTCTAATAGACGAAAAATGTTTCATTCAAAGGTCTTGGTGTAGTGTGTCGAAAGAGGTGATTTTAAAAACGAAAACAGTTCAACATATAGCATGAAAAAGGACATGAGAGCCTTCTATAGGTACATTACAGCCATGCATATGGACATCCATATATGGAAGTCGTACGACAACCTCTACTCTTCGAAAGTTCACTGAAGTGAAGAAAACAACATCGGATTCTTTCATGTTTTACTTGGCATAATTTGTTTGAAAAAGCTTTAAAATTCACAGACACCATCGTTGAACCTTAAATCCAAGGTCTATATTGAAAACCTAGCAATCAGAGCGAATCTACTGGTGATAAATCGGTCATATAAAATGTCAAGCTAATGAAGCGAAGATGTGAGCAGTTACGTTCTTCTGATGCGCAACCAATACTTTGAATAATTCTTTGATTGCACGGAAGAACTCAAAACTAAGAGGTAATTTGATAGCTATTGGAGATGAGGTTTGTTTAAGTGATATATAAAAAATTTTATCTCACAAATGAGCTCTAAATATATTTTAATA